AGGCGGTACTCTGCGTATACCTTTTGAGATCTCTCCTTTCTCCTCTCCTCTCTTCTCCTTCTTCTCTACCTTTTTTTCCTCTTTTCTCTTTTCCTCTTTCACTTCGATCGTTCACGTGTGTACACGTCGGTATACAACGAAACACCAAAGGGGGTTTGTGAAAAAAAAAAGCTTCTTCCATTGAGAATATTCGCAATAAAGGGAACCGCCTTCGTCGGCTCCTTTCACCTAATATTCCATTGCCGAGGGAAAAAAATCATCCGCCCGTATTTACACCTACTTTCGGCTACTTGGAAACGCATTATCGCGCTCCTCTCCGAGAGCACGGTCTACGGCCGTTTCTGAAAAGTTACACGATTTCACGGATACGCGCGTACCCAGTGTATTGTGTCGCGCACACTGGAGGTACCAATGATACGCCTTTTGTATTATTGTTGTTTCGTTTAAGCAGACTGCGGTGGATGGTTATTTTGATAGCTATTTAGCATTTGGCAAGTGTTCCAAGCTTACGAGATCTATCGAATAGATCGTTCCTCCTATGTTTTTGCTAGATTATGTGGTTATTCCGGATACAGATTTTTGGTCTAGTTTATATCTGTAGTTACGACCCAATATTTTTAGTTATATGTGACGATGTAATTCATTCATTTATTATGTAGACAACCAACTATTAGATATTTTATTAAATGAAGATATAGTCGTTCGTAGAAGTTTCCTTTATTCGTAGTAAGGAAATTCGTAAATTTTTGAAGCCACTAGAAAATGTGAAAATATTCAGACTACAAATATCATGACGATATTTCCTCTATCGATACGTCGGTATTATTCGACATTCTTTTTCCTCGAGACTCAGCCTGTTACCATCGACATTAAGTAGCTCGTTAATCCACAAAGCCGTACTACCAAACCGTATGTAAAAACGCCATTAACTTTCTTTAACATGCTACACGTGTAAAAAGGAAAATTCGATAAAACAATTTTCTGCGACTTCTCAACGACGAATCCCATCTTCTGCCAGTATTACCACTGATTAAAAAAAGGGATAGAACGTATAACGAGTTGGCGTTTTTACAAAGCCGTAACACAATCGTGAAAAGAGCATTGAGAACGAGCGTTTGGGACGAGGAACAGGTAGTAGGAACGTTTCACAGGTAAAACGCGAAACGGGAACGGGACGGGATAGAAATCACGGGGAAACGACTTTTAATTACGGGACAGAGGGGAGGCGCGTACGCCGCGGCGAAAGAACGAGAAAAAACGAGAAGGGAGCGGCATGGATCAGAGGCACCACGAATGTTTTCAATTACATTTGCAGCACTCCCCAGCATCGGTGTCTGATTACACCGAGATGTCGGGAGGCTCGTTTGCCGCGAAATGCACTTGCCGTTTCGATGCCGCGCCTTGTGTTCCCGTCCTCGCTAAATCTGCCTATGTGTGTAAGAGCGGATTCACCTAACCCAATACATGCTAGTAGACCAAGCATTGCTTATTCGAATTTTTAATCGTCGGAATATTTATCTTTCTTTCAAGTGATATCAGGTAAACAAAATTAATGTTCTAAATCTATTCTTTATGTGTCAACGAGTTTAGTGCTTGATCAGATTGTAGTTCTGAACTTACCATTAAACATCAAGATGCTAGGTAAACGATATAAATTAACCAAATAATATGGAGTACGAAAGAAAAATAATCTTAAGGAATTGGTTTAAAAAAGTTTTGTAATTTTATAGCTTAAAAATATACTGTGTAATACAAACTATAGTATACTATATATATAACATGTTATATGTAATAAGTGATGATATTTATAAGAAACGTGAAAAATTTGATTATCCGATTGACCTGTAACTATTTATACGTTTTTATATTGTGCCAATAATTGAGATTACAGTATAGAAAGGCGAATCATCTGATTATCTTCTCTCTCTCATTCGAAATGTCCTCGACAGTTACTATCGATTCCCTTCTCGAAACTCGTCTTTCGGTAATCTGATACATTTTTTGATCTTCGAGTGGGCCCACTTTTAGCCCTCTATGTAACCACTGAGAGATTAGGCGAAATATTTATATACTATGTTTCTTTCGGACAAAGTTACTGTGGGTCAAGGTTCTCAAAATACAATGTGCCCTGTATTTTCTTAAGAAATTTATCTTATCTTATATGTTGCTATCTGATCCATTCGATCGAGGTACAAAAAAGGCGCAAAGTTTATTCTTTGCAGTCTTTTCGCCGATATCTGTAATCGTATGACATGGATGCATGCAAAAATATTCACTAAACAACAGGCAAAGCCACCATATATTCAGCTACCCGTGACACCGAGAACTTCCGGTGTCCTCACCGGAAGTACATGCAGCGAACCACGATCCAGCCACTGGATCATATTTCTCGTAGGATTTGCCACGTTGTTATGTCGAATTCACATGCCGTGAGATTAGCCTAATAATTAGGAAATGAGGCTGCCATTTAAAGCAGGCGGTTCTCGTAGAAAACGGATGTTGGAAAATATTTTTTCCGGGGATCCATTGCACGGTCTCGCTGTCATGAATGAAAACTTGACTCTCGGCGGGTATCAGCATTTCCGACTAGGTGAATTTCATATTCCACGGGTATTATTTGAACGATTAACGCGAATGGAAAAGCTCGTTGCCAGTCCCTGCCCTCGTATTGTTGGCAGCATTTTCAACCGAAGCATTTACAATTCTCTCTTTATTGCCTTTCGGCTTATCCGGATTGCGTCGGGCCGCGAGCGAGCCGCGTTTCATTCTAATAATAACCATTAAGTTAACGAACTGCAACGCGGCTGTTTGAACACCGCTGGACACAGGGATTAACGTACCATTAATAAGATTATCCGCGTAAACAATAGATTGTCCATTTCCGACCTCCGGCCATCCGATTTCACCGGATATATAATGTGAGCCACGGGACTCGCGGTTTATTGAAAAACTCGATACACAGCCGCCAGAGATTTGCAAATGTGACAATTCGTATGCCAATATGGTGAAGATACGGTGTGGCGTTCACGACGAACTATGGCCTATAAAAGAAGGAGATTAGAAATTATTTGCTAGATATGATTAGATCATATTTTTCCCATTTTTTAGATTGATGTCAAGATTATTAGGTGGAAATATTTAAAGATGAACTACTGTATAGTGATTTATGATTTTTATTTTGTAGAAAAGTAAAAGTAACATGTATGTAATCTGATAGAACGTTATCTTAAATGTTTTTCATATTCCACCAAATAGTTTCTCATACAAAATATGTAAAAATATATGTAAAAATCGGTATCTTAAAAGATTACTCTTTAATAATTATTAATTGCCAATTTATAGTACACGTCGTTCAGCTTTTCAAAGTATTCTAAACTTCGCAAAAATGCAGAGAAGGAATAATTACATCTATGAAAAACTCCTCTATGAAAGAGATGAATAGTGGTGAACAGAAGTAAACACAATAATTGAGAAGCGTTACAAACAACTGACCCATGGAACATCGATTTGGCACACTTTTGAGATAAACTTTCAGTCAGAAGCCAAGTGGAATTTCCGCAGCTAAACTATCCGATACAGCCGATGTTTGACATACACGTTTCACGAGCATCAGTCGATGTCCCAATGGTACGTGTCGTCGTCGTTTGCAACAGGAACGCATGGCTCCTGTCGATTTCAACTTTAACTTGATAAATCCAATTGTACGCGCTGGATAAGCTGAACGGTACACGAGGGGCGTGACGAAAGAGCCGCGTCGAAATTCTGACAACGATATGACTGTCCCACGTTTCACGGAAGCCACCTAATCCTACCGATACAAATGCTATTGATCTCTGTTCCATTATATAGTTCGATTTGAACGAAGCTTTGCGTCTTTGATAGAAAATTTATTGAGAAAGAAGGAAGGATATCAAGGGATCAAGCGATTTCCTCGTTATTACTGAAACGTACTTTAATATTAAGACTACATTTTTTTATATTTTCAAAAACTAAATTTTTTTCCATATTGACAATGTGACACAAAAAGATTCAGCCAAACTTAAATGATATTTGCATGAACAACATCTATCAGTGAGTGGAGCACCGCTCGATATTAACAAAACCAAAATATAAGAATAGAATTTTGTTATACGGATTATACCGGTCATTTTTCACTCACTTAACCAATTTTCCAACGAAACCCACTTTTGTAGCCAACCAGTGCGGGTAATGGCCATTTAGCATTCTTAAAGATTCAGGACCCAAACCTATAGGATAAAGCTTAGAAGCTCACAATCTGTTGACAGGAATCCTTCGAATCAAATGGTAAATACTTTGCTTAAGATGGGTATTTCGTTAAAAAGGCAAACTGCATTTTCAAAGACCCCGGATAATATTTCTGGGAAACAAATTAACTGTACGAGAAGAGGCAAAAAGAAATGAAAGAAGATGATTATGGGGTTCTTTGTATCTGTGTTGATATAGGGACGGTTATAAACAATTCAGAGGAAGAAGTACACGCGGAAGTATCGTTTGAATCGTCTGATCCATGCTTGTATTCGCGGAGCATTTTAATCGGGTGCCACGCGTAAAGAGGGTGCTCAGTTGTGGGATCAACGACCGAAATAAATGAGAAGTGTCACTCAAGCGTCGAGACATAATTATATACATAGGTATCTATCCGCTACCCATCTACCCGTTCTACTTTAATCTAGTTACATATCTGGTAATCGTCCATCTTCCTCTCTTTTCCTCTTCTCCTCTCTCTTTTCGTACTCTGTTTCCTCCTTTCATCTGAGAAGACTGTCTATGTACGTAATCGAGTCAGATACAATTTGATCAGTGAAATGATACGAGAATTTTGCTTGCAAGCAGATTTTTCCGCTTGCATAATTTTATTGTTGAAAGTTTCTGGGAAAATATTTCTCTATGCTAAGGAAGTCGTGAAATAGTTTTCCGAAACGTATCGTTAATAACTGTTGTTGATAATCTATGGATGAGATCGAAGGATTAGTATCGAATAATTCAAAGGTAGTTTATTTATTCCCTTTTTAGTTCTGCAATTACAATTTATTTATTTTTTTTTTATATATAAGATTAATTTCAATTCTAAGCTTAATTCTAATTTATATTTTGTTACATTTTCCAGGTTCTTATTCTGTCCAACGAGTCCAATTGATAAGAGATAAGCATAACTGATTACACGATGTTCCAACAATTGTTTCATAATTATTATATAATGAATTGTAATCTTTACAATATTTAAACTCAGTTGCTAAAGCTGAAAAGGTTAATGTTTGAAGAGGTAACTATCTACTTCAAGTAAAATACCAAAATTGAAAATTGATCCTTTTCTTTAGAATCTGATCACGTGATCTTATTTACCTCTTCTAACACATTGGATTTCTCATTGAACAGAGAGTATAAACGTCACATCCTAGTCTATTTTTTGAACTCTTCGGTCCCTTTTTTCCCGCAGTAGCCTCTGAACGAAACACTTTCAACCGGATGTCTCGGAGGACAGGACATAGTGTGACGGAACTTTCGTTGAATGGCCCGTGCACACGTCGATGCTCCGGCCTGATCGATTCCCGTGCCCCGGCACCAATTACCCACGGATCGGTGATTAATTGCACACTCGGTCGAGTACACGTATTAAGTAGCGTCGCTAGTGAGATCGGCCGTCCTTGGCGGTGTATCTTCGGTGTTCTTCCCTCGGAAAGTTCGGGCGGTGTATGACCACTCACGTGTAGGCAAAATCGGCCGAGTGCAGGTTGCTGGCTTTTTAGCTAAACTCCGACTGTTTAAGGAAAAAACATGAGACGATGTCGCGGCCGTATATCGTGCTGCTCTTTAGCACGTGAAAGAAAGGTTCGTACTAACGAAGTGGAAACTGCTTGTTGCGAATACATTGCTCTTGTGTCGTTCTAGAAGCTGCTGTAAGATTGTCGCTTTCTTTCCTTGCTAAATTTTTATTTTCGTAACGATATATACAATGGTGTGTAAGATTTTCTGGCTAGATAGATTTCTCACTTTATACGTACATATTTCAAGAACAATGTCTGGAAGAATGTTAACTAATATTGGGACGATAATAATAATAATTTAAATAGTATTGGATATAAGAAAATAGTACGATAAATAAAGTATTGTTACATAGACATATGATATAAATTAAAGTTTCTTAAAATATATCTTTTCGAATATAAAGTGAAAAATCTGTCTACCCAAAGTCTTGCATACCACTATAGTAGTTACCTATGTACATAGTACATATGTATTTTCATTTTGTCATTAAATTTTACTACAATATTATTCCGTGGTTATCAGATAATAAAAATAACAGTATACGCATAATACAATATATCTCATTATATTGTCCTTTCTGTATAATTAGAATACTTTAATATCTATCATCCGACGAACGCAGAGAGAAGCATGGTCATGCTCGAAACGTAAACAATTATAAATATTCAATTAGATCAACAGACTAACGAAGATGGAGGAGGTGACATGAAAAAATGCTGTTCATTATAAACAATAATTAATATTAAATCGGTCATTCATCCGGCATTGAATAACGTCGAAACGAGAAACGATGATTGGTAGGAAAAATCGGGACACGCACGAGAATGCATCTCTCGCGCTCGAAAATAATTAACGACCATAGGAGTCGTTTGTTTTTTCTCTTTTTCTTTTCATGCGTCGAGTACGTCGCCGAATGGAAGGAACAATCGTTGGAGATTTATATCCGAAATGCATGTGCGACACTCTGTCGTGATCCATTATACTTGGTATGGGTGTTAACACGTTGCTTGTCATTGGTAACGATTCTCTCTCTTGCTTCTTTTTCTTTTCTTTTGTCCTTTTTTTTGCGAAGTACACGCTCTCGAATTAACGCCTCAACCGTCGCGTCGGACGAGAATTAAACGCACAGGTAATTGGACCGTAATTGGAGTCACCTGTTCTAGGGCAAAACGATGTCGACTTCGCGATACGATCGAACGTGTCCGAACAATTATTTCGCGTGTATGCTGCCTTCTTGTGACACGATCTGAAGTTCACGTCTTATGTAATTAAGTATATACAATGTGGATGATACAGTAAGTACTTACATAGGTTAGGCGATTTATACAAAGTATCAGTAGTACAGAATAATTATTGTCATACAGAGAAACTGTTTGAGATAAAAGAAAGCAGTGCAATGTACGTACGTAGGAAATTAAAATGTTTCTCTTTGATGGACGAATCTTTGGTATACGTATGCGTAAAATACACATATTGATGGTACAATAGGTTAACTGTAGCGCAGTATTCCACGAAGTAGGAAATCAGAGGAAGGTAGGAAACTTGCGAGTACAAGCATGTGTGCATAGGTGGCAGTCGAAGACTGACATTGTTCAGTCTCGCATACTTCCGAATGACACCAGTTCCAGTTTAAGAAACTTCCTCGCGTTGCCTTTACGTTAAAAAACTCTAGTCCACATGTGTTCGTGCAATGTATAAAAGAAACAATGTGTAACGAATATTTGTGAAAAGCGGTGTACATAAAGAATAATGTTTGTCTATGCTGGAAGACGGGGTAAACAGTACAAGACGGTTATACAGACAGGAAAATGTATGGCAGGAAAGAGACACGAGAAAAAAAAGAAGGGTGGAGGAAAAGGAGCAATAAAGTAGCAAATTGCGACACACGTTCATACGAGAATCTCGTTCACGCATCCTCACGTCCGTGCGCGCACACAACTCGCACATATGCACACATACCTGTATAGGACTAACATGTAAACGACGCACAAACACACGCGCATACGTACGGATCGTCGACTTACCTCTCGGCGCAGAAATTCGGGCGGCTAGCTGAAGGCAGAGAGAAAAGAGGCAGGAGGATGACGACGGCCGCGA